GGGGTGCAGGCGAATGATTTTCTTTTGTTCCCGTCTCCTCTACGGCAGAACAGGATGAATCCAGCATTAACTGTCATCATCTCAGGTTTCAGGTCAAAACAGTCTTGAAATAGTGCATTGCGCTGCGGAGCATCAGCAGAGGAGATAAGCATCGACCAGTGTCCGGAGAAAAGCCATTACGGCAGCAGCCTCTCTCAGATAATGGACCCGATGAAACTGCTTCTCCACCCTGAGTGTCGTCATCTTCGACGGAGAGCACTGAGAATTTTGACCCGAACGACCTTTAAGAAGGGGTGTAAGAAGATCCGCGGCTGTGTCAGAGAGCGGCACTAAAACTGAAACGCATTTATTGATTCCGCCCCGAATGGTCTTAATGTAGCTTCATAAAAAATACATTTATACCTAATGATTTTTTTTTATATGAGAACAGAGCATAGCAGAGACATGTTTGGACATGTCTGTCTCCTTCTGTCTTGAGTCTCCCCTCAATCTCACATTGTTATTATTTCATTGTTCTTATTTGCACTCTAGGTTGTTGGAGGATTTTTTTTTGTAGAATTTGAAGTCTGGATCTTTGTGAAGATCAGTTGTTGGATTTATATTGGATTTAGAATTAGATTTCTTATTCCAGTTCTGCAAATAAAAGGTCACGTGAGTATTGTATTTTCCGGAATATAAGTCACTCCAGAGTATAGATCGCACAAGCCAAAAAAATGTCGCACCATATAGGTCGCACAAGCCAAAAAAATGTCGCACCAACCAGCTAGAGTGCCCTCTAGCGGCCGTGAGTGTAAAATAACGAACATGTAATTTTCCTTGTTACAGGAGTAGCAGATACTGGTACACAAGCCTAGAGTGCCCTCTAGCGGCTGTCAGTGTGAAAATAACAAACGTGAAATTATATATTTTAATATATAAGTCGCACCCGAGCATAGGTCGCAAACCCAACCAAAGGATGATAAAAAAAAGTGCGACTCATAGTGCGGAAAATACGATGAGCAAAAACGTGTTCTGCAAAGAAAACGGTTTGTATTTCATAGTACAGCTGTTATTATTTAAACGGATTCTGTAACTTTAATAAACTTATTGTTAAGGTTCATTAGTAGCAGTTAGGTTTCATAGCTATGTCTCTGAATACAAATATTACACAGAATGAAAACAATCATTCATCATCACTCAGAGCCTGTATGGTTTTTCAGGGTCAATAGACTGAAAATAATGTTAACATTTAAGCCTCAGGAGAGTCTCTGAAGGGCAGAACCGTCATGTGTGGCTGGATAAATGAGCAGCAGTAATAAATGTACATGTTTGAAGTTCACTCTCAGAACTGCAGCCGAGCTGCAAAATTACTCTCCAGAGTCCCACGGGAAAAACCGAGGCGGTGGCTGCGGATATCAATTATTAAACACTCTTGGTAATCACCAAACTTTAATTTAATGTTAAGGATCAGCTTTTTTTTTCTTTCTTTTTTTTTTCTTTTCTGGACTCGGAGACTGAAACATAGTTTAATCATCCGCTGAAGCTTGTGAAGTTTCGTGTCAGATTCAGAGGCAGATGTTGATTGGTTTTTTCGCTAGCTCCTAGTCATTAAATGTCAGTAACGCTGATCAGACGTTGCTGTTGCAAAATTGCTTTTAAGAGCGCCGGTGGTAAAGATCAGAGACGGTCAGAGGGAGTTGCACAGTTGCTTTGTGTATTCACAGGAACTGAATGATAGGGTCCCTATGTAACGGAGTTGATTGAGATTCCTCAAATCCATTCAAAATAAAACATACATTAGATGATTGGATGAAAAATTCACAAGAAGTGTTTTTTCTTTGTTTTTTTTAAAGGCCATGAGTAACTCTTTTCAGTTCAGTTTTTTTTTTTTGGGTATGAAGTTTGAATTCTTCTCCCTGACTCTGAAACTCTGCAGAGCTTCTGTACATTTTCAGGGTTAGACTTCAGTATCGCGGTGATGTGCTGACACATGCATCAGGGTTTCCTGACACGCTTTTAAGAGTGAGTGTGACTGCTGAAGACACCTTTTCACCACACTCACCTCTGTCTATCAGCTGGAGCCCTCACTAGGATTTTCACTCTTCTGTTCTCACTTTCTATTTCTGTAGCCTGGGCTTTCCAGAATTTCTCTTGGTCATGCTCGTTTTCTTCATACTCCATTCCTTTTTTTTGGTTCACTGTCGTTTCTTATGGATCTTCCTCACTATCACCGGTTTTACTCTCGAGCAACTTGACATTTTTTATCTTGGTGTTAAACAGCTGTTCTGTGCATAAAATTTAAAAAAATGAAATTTTGAATTTTGAACCTCTAACCCTTCCCACCATGACCTATACATTTTTTTTTAACAAATCAATTTTATTTGACATAAATAATGCACACAGACAACATAAAAATATATGGATTTGTGCTTATTAAGTGATAATAATAATAGAAATATTGATAATAATAATCATAAATAACAACAACAACAACAACAACAATAATAATAATAATAATAATAATAATAATAGACATATGGTCAACATGGAGATGTTATATAAAATACAAAATATATTTGTATGTATACAAAATATATACAAAAAATTGAATAAAATATAATAACGTAACTATCTTAATAATAAACATACCATATATATGCATATATGCATGTATATAAATCCAATATAAAACCAAATTTTTAATATATATTTGCATATACAGTATATTAACTATAGATTTAAAAAAAAAGCTTCCATCAAATGCAGAGAATTTAGCACGAAATAATGTAATTATTTTAGTTGTATTTATATCTTTCCACTTTGAACAAGAACTACAGGTCACTCCAGTAGTTACACGTAAATATTTTTATTCTTGGACTCTGTTTTTTTTTTATCAAGTATCATCTCTGTTTGGGTGGAGGTCAGTGTTTTGGATATGGATTCATTTTCCCCCCCAACGTTTTCATTCATTGTGGTGTTTAAATCTCCGCAGCTGTTCGTCCACACTCTCCAACTCATGTGCTGAAGGGAAAACACTGGCAGATGGATGTAGGAAAACAGCTCCGGGCGATGGCTGCCCCGTGGAGAAAGAGAGATGTGTTGACAGCCAAGTGTCCTGCGGGACCTCGGACAAACTCTTTTTTAAAAATGTTGTTGTTTGAAGCAGTTAAGCGCTCTGGGGTCAGCGCTCGACCAACGTGGCCTCGGGAGAGCTGGGAGACACGGGGAGTTAGGGTATTATTGTCACATTGTTGGTGTGTCGGTGTCAGAAATGACGTTTTTTTTTACCTTCTCGCCCTTCTGGAACTTTTTGTTTGACAACTTGGCAGAAACAAAAGTAGTAACCTAGACCTTCAGCTGGGGATTTGTTCACTATGTGTGAATATCAGCCTGGACTGATCACTCCTGGGGCCTCGTTCATCAAACCGTGCAAAGAAAAGGTTCTGAATTCTGTCCTACGATTGAAATTTGATCGCACGGTTAGGGTCGTTTTCATTCAGGAAAACTTTCTTGATGACCGTATATGGTAGCAGCAACCCCTTTAAGAATGCAGGAATGGATTGTTTTCCGTTTCACCACAAGTCTGTGTTGGTGAAATTCCAAACGTCTTTTGAAAATTTAGAAACAAAAATTACTTGTCCTGTCGTCCTGTTTTACGGTGAGTCTCAATAATAGCCTCTAAATTGTGGGCGCAATCTATGGCTCCGATTATGTTTGGGTGAACGGATGGTTCGAAAAAGGTATCTGCTGTAAGGAAGTCGTCTAAGTTACAGTAACCTGGAGAAACTCTGACCTCTTTTAGATACCAACGTAAGACAGACTCCAAGGGGCACCCAGCCATGTTAGGTACCTCATGCGGTATCCAACCAACGTCTCCCTTACTCTCTTTGCTCTCTAACGACCATCTCTTTGAGGTGCTCAGCCTCTCTGGGATTAAATACCAGAAACTTCCCAGCAGTTAGTCAGAACTGTAGAAGCCTCTTGGACGAGGAGTGAAACGTAAAGCGAATAATTTGCGTAGGAATGTTCTATAAATTGACCATCGTCTGGCGAACTGTCCCGGCTGCACCCTCCAACGCACAAATTGGACCGTCCTGTTTGAGAGCTTGCATCAAACAGGACGGCCAACTGAGCTGATCTGAATATCAGAAACTACCGTTTATAAAGTTTAATTGCGTTCATTAACCAACGTCCAGGCTGTAAGTAGCACCGAGGAACTGTTTTTTTTATCAGATCATGAGCTCAGCTTTTTCTCCTTCTGTGTGCTGTTTCCCTCTCCTGAACTCCATTAAACTTTTATAAGCGTTTGGAACGGTTCTTTAAGGAACTGGGTTTTTTTTTTCTTTCTTTCTTTCCTGCCAGCCTCTGCACTGCAGCGTCTTCAAGTTTATTGGAAATGTGGTAGATTTTCTGAGCTGATGTGTTTGCTGACAAAAAAAAAAACCAAAACCCCTTCTGAACCTGTCTGGGTGTCTTATGTTCTTTGCTGCACCCTTGCTGGTTCCGGGCCAGAACAGAATGCATTAAAATGTGGTTAGCACTCCGAATGTCATGCTGGGAATCAGTTGTATCAGACCTGCAGGGGCCCTGCTGCCGGGGTGTCAGGTAGAGAATCACTTCTGTGCTGCTGGAGCGGTAATAAAAAGTGCTGGAGGAAGAGAGGGAACTCATTGGCATTCATCCCCGCGCTGCCGGTTTCTTCCCTGTGGTCAGGACTCTCTTCTGTTCTCCTCCAAACCTGTGAGTGCTGTCTGTTGATGATAAACAGCCTAACGGTCAGGGCCAGAGTTCTGGTTCCATTCAGGTCTGCTGAGAAAACCTGACCATCGTGTTTTCGTTTATCACACTGTGTCAGTTTTTTTGAGGGGGAAAAAAAAAAAAAAAAAAAAAAAAAAACTCCCAAAAATCCCTACTCCTGGTCTGCAGTGGTGGTTTTGGGAGGAACAGAATTGACCAGGACTGAGACTGTTACTCCGGTATCAATAGAAAATTTACATGTTCCTTGTTCCTTTCATTTGAAGGTTCCTGTAGACGTCTGAGGAGTATCTTTGTTCCTGCTGCTTTCGTTACTCAACATCTGGAACTCCATCCCCACACCCCGACCCCTCAGCAGGTGTTGGCTGGATTCAGGAAGGCTCGGATCCTGCAGCCACGTCCATCACGTCTTCACCACTGGGTAAATACCGACCTCTCATGTTTCAGTTGATTTATTGACGAACGCAGTTAGAATCTTTACGATGCTCTGGATAATATACTGGACGGTTGGGTAAAGTTCGGATGTGGATTTGGACAGTTGGTCATTGACGTCAAACAGTCAAACCTGCGATCGGATGATTAAATTATAAAGGGATTCCCTGATGAATTACGTCACAGAACGCAAACGACAGGCTCTTTACAAGGTTAAGTGTTTGTTTCTGCTCAGACTGAACAAGATTCTCTTCATTTTAGAGAGAAATTCAACACAGCCATAATCCCTGAAATTGTAGTTTTTTTTTTATGCTTGAATTATTGTATCTTTAGCAGGCGTGTCAAACTAATTTTCAACCCCTGGTTCGCGGACCAGTACCAGTCCATATGGTCATTTGGTCATTTGAAAAAATGAAAAAAATTCTAATTAACTTCAGTCAAAAACAAATTCCATTTACTTACTTTATTTGATGATAATCTGGCAATATTTTAAAATAAAAGTCATTCAGACTTTGATACAAACAGAATATAGTCTGGTATAGATGTAGCTCCTCCATAACAGACTAATACATGTTTCTGCAATTGATTATTATTTATTCAAGTTACAAATATTCTTCATTGCTGTGTAATAAAAAAAAAAAATTCATTTCATAGGTTAATGAACTCTGCTGCAAGGCTCCCGCGGGCCACAAAAAATTGGCCTGAAGGGTCACATTTGGGCCCCCGGGCCTTGAGTTTATGGCCTGGCGGGCCACATTGGGCCCCCCGGGCCTTGAGTTTGACACATATGATCTATAGCAAACGTATTCAGCCTGAATCCTCCCGCTTCTTCCCTTTAACTCCTCTCCCTCTTGGAGCTTAAGAACCGTTTTAGACCGGTCATTAGGTCAGAGGCAGGAGATGAAAGAAGGATGGAGCTCAGTGAAGGTTGAAAACAGGAAATGGCTCGTCTGTAGATACTTAGAGTTTTTTTTTTTTTTTTTTTTTTTTTTTTAGTAATACATCTGAGAACGTGAGCTGAGTAAAACGCCCAAGATCAGCATTTAGAAAATTTGCATCTTTTTCACTCGAGCCACTGGTCTGACCAGAGAAAATGTTGCAGCTTCTGCATTTACGGCTGAGTGTGTGATGATTAGTAGCGATTCTCACGCGCCGCTGTGTTCATGAGATATTTACCCTGGAAGAGTGAAAAAACCCTGCCATTTTCACAGGTGGACTTCTGCAGTGATGAACGGACAAGCCAAAAACTTTTTGGTCTGTAAACATGTAGATTGTCATCAGGTTTCCAAAGTGGGGAGTGCATTCCCTGTGGGAACGCAGTGCCATTGCAGGAGGAGAAGAAGAGTTGTATGCATCGTTAATGTTTGCATACATTGAATCCAGTGTTTTATTGTCCCTGGTATGACAGCGAGGGGGGGGAGGGGGGTAGAGGAGGAGAGAGAAGAGTTGTTAAAGTCCCCAGAGATAAGAATTAGGGATTGAGGGTGAGCTGTCTGCAGCTGTGACACACACGTCTCAGTGGACCACATCACGCTGCACTCTCGGTATTCCCGCCGCAGCCGGGTCAGCGCCGTGAGCTCATCCATCTTGGCCCGACACATAACACCAGATCTACGTTCCCTCCTCTTTCTTCTCAGCTCAGTCGGGATGTCCGGTCCCTGGTTGAGGAGCACAGATGTTTTGCATTCGTGAGTGTAAACAATGGAGTCGCGGCTAGGCGGATCGCAGATCGTGTACGCTATTAAATAGTTTGCGTTAGGAAGTATAGTATAGTAAGTGTTAATTTTTTTTTTTTTTTTAAGTGACGTAGTAAGTTGTGGGAGGTCTTAAAAACACCACTTCTAAACACACAGAAACAGGGTAGGAAAGATGGAGTTGCTGCAACTAGCGGCCACTCGGGCGGCGCCATTGTAGCGGAAGGTGACGCAGCATATTGTTTATGCAGGCGTAAAAAAAAAAAATATATATATATATATGTCTGAAATATTATACTACATATTGTAAGAGTTCAGGCAAAGAAAGCTTGTTGAGTTAATTTGTTCAAGTTGAGATTGAAAATAAATATTACACAGCACGAGTAGCTCTCTATAAAGTATATACAGTGTTCCTTCTCTACATAACAATTTTTTTTTGTCCAATCTCGCGACATTTTTGCTATATCGCGATATTTTGGGGTAAATACAATTTTTAAAAAAAATTTCCAATATTTTCATTATTTTTGTGAAAAAGAAATCTCTCTAGCCTTAAGAGGGAAAAAACAGTAATTAAATAAGCAAAAAGACATTTTGCAACACGTACACAAATGAGATTTGGGTTGGGTTTCTTTCTGTCATGGTGTAGGAATTTTAAAACGTCCATGATTTCAATATTTTTGTGATAAAAAACATTTTCTAACCTTTAAAAAAACAGTAAAAATATAGCAAAAAATATCAGCTAAAAGACAAAAATAATTACACTTACGAAAATTTTGGCTTTAAAAATGTGGATTCTCGTTGCGTTAGTCAATTTGTTTACCTAGACAAGCACAGCACATCGTTGGCTAATACAACGCGTACTCGGTGTACTATTGGCTAATTGAGCCTGCTCTTCTGTTCCTCACTCTGATTGGCTCATACGTCGTAGCATCTCTCAGCATCTCCCCTTGTCTGTCGGCCACTTTGTGCTCTTGTGTTCGGTGAAAGTTCCGTAAAAGTTCCCCCCTAATTTAACGTCCTTCTCAGGCTTCTGGTACGAAGCCCAAACAAAGCATGATAATGAATCAGTATTGGAAAATTCATTGTTTTTTTTTTTTTTACCAATGAAATCTCCATTAGTGTTTCGTGGTTGAACACAGGTCCTCAAAAGGGATGCACAAAACGTTCCACGGTTACTGCGAAGGCCATTCAATTGCTCATTGGTTGATTTTATATATATATATTTTTTGTGCCTGCTTAAAATGAAACATTAACAAATAAACACCACAGTACTAAAACCAAAATAACGAAGTGCCGATTAACCTTGCACCGGGAGCACATTAAATGAAACCAATGAATTCTCTTCCATATCTCTGTCCCTGTTAGCTTGGCTTTCTCCGCCCCCCAAAATGTTGAGGAGCCCTGGTTCAGCGGAGGCAACATTTACAGTCATTTATATTTCATGTTTACCTTGCTTAAGGCTCCCTGGTGTGTCACAGAAAACATTGCTGTTTTCCTGGAAGCCCGTTTTTTTTTTTTTTTTTTTTTTCCACCTTCTATAATTTATCCTCTCTGCTCCTCTGTTACTCTTTTTATGAAATATTTGTCGCAATTTTCCTTCTCCCGGGAAGTTCTCTTGTTGATTGTGACACAAATGCGTATTCTTTGGAGGAGTTAGAAGATGAAGAATGAGTCCCTCTCGTCCGTCACACCCCTCTGCGCCTTCATTTCCATCTCTCTCTCTCTGCCTCTGTGAATCTCAGCCGTCACCTTAGAGGATGACGGTGAAATGCAGCTTCGGTTTCTGCTCTCATCCGTCGTGTGTGTGTGTTTTGCTCCAGAGCAAATGCTGATAAATGCCTTTTTTTTTTTTTTTTCACTGTTGTGGTAACGTGGTAGCGCTGAATTTCCCCATAGGACGAACTGTGACATCATGAGTTTTTAATGACGATGTGGGTCGCCGAAGTGCACTTGTGAGGTAAAAACATTCGTTAAGAACACTGAAGCATTAATAGGAAATTGACCGTAGAAATAATGTTGGAAAACTCTGTAGCTGAAATGCAAAAAGTGGCTAAAAATGCTAAAAGGGATTGAAAGGAGTTCATGCAAATACTGGAACTGTTTGGCCCCCCGAAACAGAAACCTGCGGAAAGTAGCTCCCTGATCAGTCGGAGAGCTGTGTGCATTATATTTTTTTATCTGCCTTTTTTCAGTTAAAAGTTTCAATTTCACAAACAGAAAGGAGTGACAAAAACAAACCCGAAGGCCCTGACTTTCCTTGGTCTCCAAAGAAGACTTCTGATTGATGGAGCCGTCAGGAAGTTCAGGTACTTTTGGGACTTTGTGGTTCGACAGAAACCTGTAGACGGAGACAATAGCTCGCAATTGTTTTTCGTTGGAACCTGAGAGGAACAGATTTGGATGATGACACGGGCTGGCTCTGTAAGAAACGGGGAAAAAAAAAACTTCTCTAAATGTAAAGTAAATGCTAATAATAACTTTTAAAAATTAGGGATAACATTTTTTTAACATTTTTATTCGTATGAAGTAAAATAAATGACACGTAAAAGTCAGAAAGGCTAAAATGCTTTTCCTTTTCTACGCCATCTATTGGAGAAATACGGGCATTGCAAGGGAAAAGTATAATGATAATAGATATTAACATAATTTGGACCCTTTTGGCCGGCCGGATTAAAAAGCCTAACGGGCCGCATCCGGGCCCCGGGCCATAGTTTGCCAAAGTCTGACCTAGATCAATGATATAAATTAATATAAATTATAATTAGGAAGGTTATAAAAACAATGTTAAACACATAAAAATGTCTCCTGGTATCCAGCCTTTGTCATCGGTGCAGTTTTTTTTTGTTTGTTTGTTTTTGTTCAGAGCCTCAGGACAGAAAGTGTTTTCTTTGTTTTTCTGTATTTTCAGTCTGTGTTGTGGAGGCTTCCTTTAGAAGGACATCAGGGTTAAAATGTGTGTCACTGTCAGTGTGAGCATCATCTGTACTGGGGCCGCGCCTGAAGAACAGACTTGTATGAATTGTTATGAGAGAGAGGGAGGGAAAAAAAAAAAAAAGGAAAAGTAGAAACACACTGGTGTTGCACCAGTGCACGTCCTCATGAATTTTGTGCACGTTTGTTAATTGACAGCAGGATTATAACATGATGACATTAGCTCTGCGTGAAGTCATGCCGGCAGTAATTTAGTTTGAATTTTTTTTTTGTTTTTTTTTTCAATGAATAAAATGTGAATGAATACCTAGAGGCGTTTTCCTCCCAGGTCTGATGCTGTGTAACATTAGGGAGGCTGATTCAT